GCCTCGCGGCCCCCCGCGGCCGCTTCTCGCGTGTTGTCCCCCAAGTGCCGTCTCCGGGAACCCGCCCCAGCCGCTGGCGCAGAAGGGGCCCCGCCGGCCTGTTGTCGGGGTCTCCGCGGGCGCGGGCTGCGCCGCTGTTTTGCCCTGGGACACTCGGGTTCTTTGTTTCTCTGCGCACAGGACGTGGGTGGCGACTAGCGCCGTGGGCACACCGGGTTTGGAACCGGAGGGCAGGTGGGACAGCCAAGGCTCAGCTAGTGGGCTTCGTGCTCCGAGCGGCAGGTGCGGAGCATCTGGCCAAGCCGCCTTGCCTTCCACGTGGTCGCCCCAGGGCTCCGGCGCTAGCTTGACGCGCTCATCTGGGAAGGACGCGGTGTCTCGGGGGGTAGCGACGAGATTTGCGGTTTGTCTGCGGCAGGGCTCCAGTGGGGGTTTGCCTAACGCGAGAAAACGGCTGGATACGTGTTTTAACTTGGGATCGGAGTCTCACTCTGTCGTCTAGGCTGGCGTGTAGTGACGTGGTCACCACTCACCACAGCCTCGACCTCCTGGGCTCAAATGATCCTGCATCACCCTCCCGAGCAGCTGGGACCACAGGCGTGCGCCACCATACTTGGCTGGTTTTTTATAGAGACGAGGTCTTGCTATGTTGCAGAAGCCGGTCTTGAACTCCTGGGCTCACGCCATCCTCCCGACCGAGCGTCCTGAAGCGCAGGGATAGGGTGTGAGCGACCGCCCCCTGCTGCTTGGGCATATTTCGTCCTGGAGTCAGTTATCGATATTCGCTAGTTTTTCTCACTGATTTCTTTTTCTTGATTTTACTGGTAACCTGAGAATTTTTTTCTAAAGTGCCAAAAAACCAAATAACAAAATGAAAATCATGTCATCCAGAGACAATTGCCTCATATTTTGACGTTTTTTTTCAGTATTTGTTTCTCTATATGGTATATGTACGCATAAAAAACAATGTTACTCATAATCCTGTCATGGTATCCCTCCGTAAGCATCTGTGGCCAGATCCTGAGTGTTCGAAAATGCTTTAGACGTATGGGTGTGCCATCATATATTTTAGTTGTTCTTTAGTTTTGGAACGCTCAAGTTTCTGATTTTTTAAAATTCTTTGATAGAGGCATGAATTATAGTTTCATCTCCAAGCCAAAGTTTCCTAATTTTAAAGCCGAGGGTTGACGTCCTTCTTGTGGAACTGTGTGAGGATTAAGTGGGGTGATATTTGCTGATGTGCTGAGCACAGCCCCTGGCTCCACGGGAGACAGCGAGTGCTCCTTGGACAGAGCTGGGAGTCCACGGCCTGTCATGCTTTTCCTCTTTCAGGGGCGATCTTTCACCATGCATCGGAAGAAGGTAGATAACCGCATCCGGGTGCTCATTGAGAATGGCGTGGCAGAACGGCAGAGGTCTCTCTTTGTCATCGTTGGTGATCGAGGGAAAGATCAGGTACGACCTGGTAAATGCTTCTTACACGACTTGGTGTTCAGTCTTGAGGAGACAGCATGTTAGGCCCTCTGGGATTTCAGCATCTGGGACGTTGAGGTCTCCTTGGCTACTGAGATGCCTGGAGGGCCCCGTCTTCTTTTTCTGGAGTTGATAAATCCTCTGTATTTAGATCTATTAGGTCTCGCTGTGTTCTCAGGCTGGTCTTGAACTCCTGGGGTCAAGCCATCCTCCTACCTCGGCCTCCCAAAGTGAGGCGTAATGATACCTTTCGAGTCCTGGGGTGTTGTGTTGACCACAAAGTTAAGTGTGTGTGACCTGGCTTCTAGTTCCCATCTTGCCACTGTTCACCTCGTGGCCTTGGGCACTTCCCTGGCTCTCAGTTTAGTTTTCATAGATGAGGTCTTAGGCTTGGAGGTCTTTAAAGTCTCTTGCACCTGAGATGTTGTGGCCTTTCTCGGCAGGTGGTGATACTCCATCACATGCTGTCCAAAGCAACTGTGAAGGCTCGGCCTTCGGTGCTGTGGTGTTACAAGAAAGAGCTGGGGTTTAGCAGGTGAGCTGCCCTCTGCTCTGTCCCACCCGCAATCCCTGCTGCCAAGTTCGGGCCTCGAATGGTCCTGTGACGTTGCTCTTCAGGGTCCCTCACGTCTCTTCTTTGCTCCTGACAGTGTTGTAAGGCGTTTCACACTGTGTACGTCCCCACCTAGGGCTGCATGTGGTCTGCACGTGGTTCTTCCTGCTTTTGCATCTCTGCAAGCTCCTGCAGGCTGCCTTTCCTGCCTCAGATGCGCCTGCCTCTGTTCTCCCTTCTTCATAGAGGGGGCTACGTCACGCTGTGTCCAGGGAGGCCCCTTTGTGGATCTCTTTGCCCCTCCCAGCCCTGGAGGCACTCCTCAACCCTAGACATGTTCTCCTTCCTGCGGACGTACTGTGTGGCACCCATCCTCAGCACCTGCCCGCCTGCTCCCAGTTGTAGGCTGCTAGCACCCTTGTTTTTGTTGCCGTGTCCCTGAGACAGACGCCTTGGGCATAGCCTCGCCTCCCCTTGATCTCTGGCTTCTGCCTCATGACCCCATCGTGCTGCTGGTTGTCCCCTGTGGCCTGATGCCTGATGAGCAGCCTCTTTCTTCCCTTGCTCCTTGTACCCTTGCTGAGGGGTGGTCAGCACTCCAGGTGCAGGTGGTGGCCTGGGGTGCGAACACCCAGAGGGCGGTGCTGTCTCAGTGCTTCCCCTGTGCCTTCTCTGCTTTCTGTTGTCTCACTGGTGGGAACACACTGAGTTATACATGTTTTGGGTCCTGGTGTGTGGAAATAAGGCTTTCTCCCAAAATTCCTGGTAGAGGTGTCCGGCCCAACCCAGGGAGGCAGGTTCAGTGGTGTGTAGAAACCTGGCAATCCCACCTGCTTCTTAGCGCTTGGGGCTCGAGGTTGGGAGCAGTCACCTGGGAACAGGCTCCTCTTGGCCTCGGTATCTACTTGGGCTGCCTTCCTGAGCTCCTCCCTTTCCCGTGACCATGACCCTCCGTAAGCCTGGCTGGTGAATGTAATGTCCCAGGGCCTCTTCTTCCCTGTGACTCTCGGCATATCTGACTCTCACACTGACTCAAATCAGCAAATTTTTAAATTTACTGTAGAGACAAGGTCTTGCCAAGTTGCCTAGACTGGTCTCAAACCCCTAGGCTCACTCTGTCGCCCAGACTGGAGTGCAGTGGCATGCTCCCGGCTACTGCAGCCTCAACCTGCTGGGCTCTGGCAATCCTTCCACCTCAGCCTTCCAAGTAGCTGGAGCTATAGGCGCGTGCTACCATGCCTGGCTAATTTTTTGTTTATTGTGGAGATGAGGTCTCGCCAACTTGCCCGGGCGGGTTTCGAACCCTCGGGCTCAAGCAATCCACTCACCTCGGCCTCCCAAAGTGCTGGGATGACAGACTGAGCAACCAAGCCCAGCTCCGGCTCTTCTAAAGCACAGCGTTGCCCAAAATCACAGCAGAGTCTATGCCCAGACTTACCCCCACCTCAGCCCTCCTTAGCCAGTCTGGCGCTTCTCCCTGCCCTTTGCCCCAGGAGCGAGGAGCCTCAGGCTCCCCGTGTTCCGGCCAGCCCCAAGGCCCTGAGAGGTTGACCGTCGAGCCTGACCCCGGTCCTGACTGTCCGGCTCCTGGCTAACTGGCTCTCATGGGCCTGGGCGGGTGATCGCAGCCACCGGAAGAAAAGGATGCGGCAGCTGCAGAAGAAGATCAAGAGTGGAACCTTGAACATGAAGCAGGATGACCCCTTCGAGCTCTTCGTGGCGGCCACCAACATCCGCTACTGCTACTACAACGAGACCCACAAGATACTGGGCCGCACCTTTGGCATGTGTGTGCTCCAGGTGGGTGGCCAGACCTGGCCGCAGGCAGAGTCTGCAGGGCCTGGGGCTGCTGGGGCTACACCAGGAGTGGGTGTGGCCTTCCAGAGGAGACCTGGTCCCTGGTCCCCTGTCCCATGTCCAGAGGGACCTTTCCCTCAGTCTGCACCTGTGTGGATGTGGCAGCCTCAAAGCACCATTACAGCTGGCTCTGTTCAGCCAGGGCCGCCCACGCACCAGGCCCAGTGACCCCATGGTGGCTTCCTTGATGGCACACAGTGGGCCATGTCTCGCCTGCTGGGCACAGACCCTGTAGGGCGCTCGAGTGGCACCCTCACCCCATACGAGCCCCTGACTCTCCCCCTCAGAGTACGTGGCAGGTGTCCCAAGTTTCACAACTTGACTGTGAGATTTCTGGGGGGGGGGCGTCTCTCTGTTTTATTTTTTGGTGCCTCTCCTCACCCCGAAAGATGAGGAATTAAGTTTATTCCTGCGCTTTGTGTGTGTTCACCAAATTCGCGTACTCCTAGCCCCACTGTGGTGCCAGCTGCATACCTCGCAAAGCACTCGCTACGAAATAAGGGGTCAGAACACAAGTTCCATTTTTCCTTCAGCAGTCCGTGGGCTGTCACCTGCTACTGGTTGGCGTCCCTCCTGGGAGGCCCCAGAAGTGGCATTTGCCGCCTCCCCCCTTCTGGGGAACCACTGGGCCTGGCCAGGCCTGACTGGGTCTGGTGGGGAGCATCCACCCTTGCAGCCCTTCCCGCCTGGAACACTGGGTTCCCTGGGCCTACTGCCCCGTGTGGTGCGGTTGAGTTTTCTCAACCAGGTATGGTCTGAAAGTGTCAGAAAAGGAGTGCATTGTGTTTGAGATTTCAGTGTGAACCGGTGAAGGCCAGGAAGCTTGTTTCCAAGTAGGATTGTGTCGGAGGTGATGAGAGACGCTTGTGACGTGTGGAACCAGGCGTCCTGTGCTCAGGGATGGCCCGTGCGGAGCCCCAAAAGGGGTTGTGTGCCCCAGGCATCAGGCAGTCTCGGCTGCGTCTTTTGTCCTTATTGCTGGGCCTTGGTGAGGGGTTCCTCGCGGTGCTACCCGCATGGCCAGCCCTTCCTAAGGCCTCCTTCTTCCAGGACTTTGAAGCCTTGACTCCAAATCTGCTGGCCAGGACTGTGGAGACAGTGGAGGGCGGTGGGCTGGTGGTCATCCTGCTGCGGACCATGAACTCTCTCAAGCAGCTATATACCTTGACCATGGTAAGCACCCATTTCCCCGCTCTGGGGGTCCCCTCGGTGTGTGTCTGCTGTTTTTCCCTTTCTTTAAAGACTTGCTGCTAGGTGGCTCTCGTGGGTAGGCAGCACAGTTTGAGCAGGGAGCGCTTTGCCTGCAGCTGAGGAAATAGTCCCTCGGTGAGTGGGTGGGCCCTGACGGGCCCCTTCCCTTGAGATGCGTGCAGACCTACATCAGTTAGAGCTGGTATGAACTGGCCTCTGGCCAGGCTTCCCAGGGTGGCATTCGGTGCACAGCAGTGCCAGGCCCGAGTATGTGCTGTGGGGACAGGGTCACAGGCAGGGTCCTTCCTGGCCCTCATCTTGACCGGGGAGGGAGGAATATCTGCCAGTTCACTCCCAGTTGGGCGGGAATTAGATTCTGGGAAGGGTGGTTTTCCCCAGAGCCAAAGGTGCTGGCTGAGGATGTGGCCAGGAGTGGGGCCGTGTCACCTGGGCAGGCCTGGTCTCCTGTCTCCTTCAGTGTGCTGTATTGCTGTCCAGAGAAGTGGCTCAGGGTGGGGGCTGGGAAGGTCTTGGGCCTTCTTGAGCTGCATCTGTCAGGTGAAGTGTTCCTTCCTTGACTCTTGGGGCTGCTTCCTGCCCCTCCTGGCACCACTCCTGTCTTCTTGAGCCCCTGCAGCCCCGTGGCCTCTTGAAGCCCCTCAGACACGTCCAGCACAAGCTCCCTGGACCTTTGTGTGTGCTGTTCCCACCGGCGCATGCGTCCTGCACATCTGCCCAGCCCACTTCCCCACTGGCCTGCCCAGCCCGGCTCCCTCAAGCCTGAGGAGGCTGAGCCACCTGCCTGGCACTCCTTGCCCTGCAGAGCACATGACGGCTACCTCAAGCCGTCTACAGGGGTCTGGCCTCCTGATTCAGTATCTAAAACCCCTGGAGGGCAGGGACTGGTGCCTGGCATCTAGAGTTCCGTGGACATGCAAGTGGCGCTTGACTGCTCACGTCAGCTTGTCCTTCCACGGCCTCCCACCTGGCTGCCTGCATGTCCCTGGGTCTCCCTCACTGCCCTGCAAGATAGGTCCCACTCGTTCACAACCCCACACTTAATGCCTCACTCCTGGCACGTGCCCAGACCCGCTTTCTGGACGCACTCACCTTCCTCCAGCCCAGGCTGTGAATGCTGTGAGGACAGGTTAGCTCTGTTCACCGTGGGTGCCCCGCACTCCCACGCCAGACACACGTGTGTCCTTTGTGGGATGCGTGACGCGTCTCAGGCTGCCAGGTAGGTGGTAAAAGGAAAGGTCTGGGGTCAGAATGCGCCCAGTACCTGTGTGACACCAGCAGGTGCTGTTGGCTGCGAGTGGCAAGTGGAGGAGGGCTTCCTTTTGGCAGCCTGACTGGTGACTCCTCTGCCAGATTGGGGCTTGTCCGGGCCGCTGTGCTCATGGTGCTCTGGCTTCCGCAGGATGTGCATGCCAGGTACAGGACTGAGGCCCATCAGGACGTGGCGGGAAGATTCAACGAGAGGTAGGTCTGCTGGCCCCACCATGGGAGCCTGCTGGGGGGGGACATTTGCATCTGGGCCCACAGAGCGCTGCTTGTTTGTCAGGGAACACAGCAGAGGGCTCCACAGCACTGGGACCCCTGATGGCAGCAGTTCCAGCAGGGTGGCTGGAGCAGGTAGGAGGGAGCGACAGGCAGGGATTTCTCTTGCTGCTGGCCTGTCGCTAGCATGGCCTTCAACCAAGTCACCCTGTCTTTCTGACTCTGGCTTATTCATCCTTGAAGGAGTGACTTGTCTGGGTCACAGTTTCCCAGAAGTGGTTTTGTAGGACGCTAGTCTCTTGAGAAGGACCTCGGGGCAAAAAGGTTTCTGGCCAAGTAGGTGACGGAAATGCTGAGACCGTTTTTCCTTTGTGAAGATTCACATGTGCCTGTTGTGGCCTCTGACACATCCCATAGTGACAGGACCTGCTAGACTGGCTTCCCACCAGTGTGTTTTACCCAAGCCCTTGGGGCAGGGCCACCATGTGGGGCCCAGGTCATGGTCTTATCTGGAGCACTCTGGCCCCCAGGGACGTGATGCAGGGTCTGGGAACATTTCCGTTGTCATGACTTGGGAGGTGCGGGACACCTGGTGGATAGGGACCAGGGATGCTGCCAAGCACCCCAGTACCCAGGTGGCCCACGACAGCAGTGTCTGGCAGGACGTGTCTGTAGAGCAGAGGGACCCGGGGCCTTTCTGGCTGCGTGTGTGGCCCTCTGACTTGGTAGACGGTGTGAGCCAAAGCGCGGTGGGGAGCCCCGACCAGCACAGGGCCTGGGATGGCTCTGCGAGGCCCCTTCCTGCTGTGTGGGCGGTGCTCGAGTTTCCCAGCCACATGTGCTCTCCACACGCAAGGCGGATGGCCATCCCTCCTCGGGGACTTTCTTCCCGTTGCTCCTGTGTTTCTTCCTCCTCATGGCAGAGGTGACTCTGCTGTGTGCTTCCCTGTTTGGTGGTCTTGCGGGCGCGGGTTTGAATTCCTGTTGAGGGATGGCCTGAGCCACTTAGTGCCGAGCAGTGGGGTCGGGGAGGACAAGGGCAGGGCATGGGGCGTGGGGAGCAGCGGGGCTGTGCGTGGTGGCCAGCACTTGTCTGCTCGGCGGAGCCCCTGGTCTGCGTGGTGTGAAGTGCCAGGCACCTGTGGAGGAGGCCTGAGGCCTCCCTGCCCTCCAGCTGGGCCCTGGCTTTCCTGAGACTCGGGAGGAGAAGCAGCGCTCACGCAGACGCAGCCTGCCCGGTGCCTCCTTATGCGGCTTCTTCCACAGGTTTATCCTTTCTCTGGCCTCCTGTAAGAAGTGTCTCGTCATCGACGACCAGCTCACCATCCTGCCCATCTCCTCCCACGCGGCCAGCCTCGAGCCGCTGCCTCCGCGGGCTCCAGTGAGTGGCCGCCCTGGGGGCCTGGGGGCTCGCGTCTGCGTGTGTGCCGTGGCAGCGGCAGACCCTCTTCCCTCCTATGCTAGGATGAGCGTCTTGGACCTGCCGACCTGGAGCTGCAGGAGCTGAAGGGGAGCCTGCAGGACACGCAGCCTGTGGGCGTGCTTGTGGACTGCTGCCAGACCCTGGACCAGGTGGGTGGCAGGCAGCCTCTCTTCCCAGTGTAGACGTGCAGAGATGTTGTGGCATGCCGAGGGCAGCGGCAGGTCTGGTCCATACTGCCTGTGCTCACAGAAGTCCAGGCATGACCCCTGCACCCGCGGCCACAGCTCAGGGAGCAGGGGTTGGGTCGGGGGCATGGCGTGCGGTGGAAGCCCTCCATGAGCTCCCCTGGAGAGGGCGTGTGCCTATCTTCTTTCGCTGCAGGCTAGTTATGGGACGTGGAGGCTTGCTCACTGCTTGTGGAGGAGGGCCAGGGCCCTGTGTGGCATTCACCCGCTTCCTGCTGGGGCCTGCTGTGGGCTCTGGGTGATGTGTGTCTGGCCTTCAGGTGTGGATAGCAGGTGGCGGAAGCTGCCGGGAAGTGTCTCAGCTTTCCCTGATGTGGCCAGTGCTGGCACGCCGGGCTTCCCCGGTAGCTCCTGGCTGTGTTTTGGGCCCTGGGCTGGTAAAGCCAGGTGGGTGGCATGGGGCCCTGCCCTCAGAAGGAACACAGCTCAGGGACCCTGCCCATGTCATTCTCTGGACACAGAGTCAGCAGTCGCCAGCTCTCCAGGCCGTTGGGCTGCCCTGAAGCTCTTCCTGGCACTGCCTCTCACCAGAGGGAGCGAGGGATGGCACGAGGGCTGCGGCTGGGTCACTAGGGCATGGCTAGAGAGCAAATGGTCCGTGGCCAGAAGCAGGAAGGAGGGAGGGTGCTGGCTAAAAGGAGGCCGTGCTTCCACTTGGTGGTTTGTCATGTGTCCCGCTGGCCCTCTCCTGGGCATAAAGTGGATGTTTTAAAAGCCCACTAAGAGTCGTGCTGCACAGAGACCCTGCTGACGGTCTCCCCTTAGACGTCGAGTGGACTCCAGCTTGCTTGCTGTCGAGACAGTGCAGTCAGGACGTTCCTCCCTCTCCTGAGGCATCTGTGGCCGTGGTGGCTAGTGTCCAGCAGAAGGGGAGCACCAGGTCCGAGCGTGTGCCTGCAGCAGTATCGCTGGCTGATGCTCTGGTTTGCGCGGGAGCACCTTGTCTGCTGCCCTGCCTGCACTGCCCTCGGGTGTGGGTGTCTTCACTGGCCCGATGGGGCACGCAGCCTCGCTGTCCCCACTTGCTCACTTTAGCCAGGAGTGGCACCTTCCTCACCCATCTGCGTCTTGGCTTCCCTGAGTTTGAGGGGATGGGCTTCAGGCGCCTGGTCGGGGAGGACCGGGGGCTGATGTGGAGCTGAGGATGGGGGCCACGCGGGCCACCAGGACGCTGACCACAGGTGTGGGGAGGAAACGGGTGGCTCTGGCCTGTAGAGTAGACAGCTGACGGGCGGGAGCTGGGGAGCCTGGCCATTCCATTTCTGGGCGAGGCGTCTGCTGTTGACGTGGATGCAGTAGGAGCCGCGTACACATAGAGACCTGCATGTGGGGGCATGGTCGGGGCTGCTGCCGCATGCTTGGGAGTTCTGCGTCAGGCTGGCCTGAAGGGCTGGAGACAGCAGTGGCGCTGTGGGTGAGAGACCTGGGGTGGGCGCCTCCTGGCTGGAGGGACCACCCTGTTCCTCCGCCTTCCTGCGCGGTGAGCCGAGCAGAGCTGGGCCTTTCTCAGGGCTCACCTGCTGTTCTCTCCACAGGCCAAGGCTGTTCTGAAGTTCATTGAGGGGATCTCCGAGAAGACCCTGAGGAGCACTGTTGCGCTCACGGCTGCCCGGGGACGTGGCAAGTCTGCAGCTCTGGGCCTGGCTGTTGCTGGAGCAGTGGCGTTCGGGTGAGAGGATCAGCTCCTCTCCTGAGGATCCCTGAGCTTGGAGGGCCCGAGACCCAGGTTTCCTGCTCGGGTTGGGTTCCCTGTGTGACTCCTCTGGTCTTGAGTTCCTGCTGGGGAATGGCAAGACTGTTCCCCAGCCCGCCCTAGATGTGCACACACAGGGCCTTTGCGGTCACTGTGCACGGTGGGACACATACGCAGAAGCGCAGAATTGGGTTAAGAAATCTCATGACTCGGTGCGGATGTGTATGACCAGCTTTACTGAGTGAGTGAAGTCCAGTTCGAGATTTTAATGATTTTTGTTTTTCTTGTGTTTGTGAGTCGGGCTGTCACCGTCACCCAGGCTGGAGGGCCGTGGCACAATCAGGGTCCACCACGGCCTCAGCCTCCTGGGCTCAGGTGATCCTCCCGCCTAAGCCTCCAGAGTAGCTGGGACTGTAGGTGTGTGCAACCACGCTCGGCTAATTTTCGAATCTTTCGTAGAGATGAGCCTTGCTATGTTGCCTGGGCTGGTCCCAAACTCCTGGGCTTAGACCATCCTCCTGCTTTGGTCCCCTAGAGTGCTGGGATTGCAGGCGTGCCGCTGCGCTTAAGACACTAAAGTGATTTTGAGGAGTGGGTTTTGTTTGTCCCAGGGCTGTGTTGGAGTGTGGTGCTGCCTTTGCTCTTTTCTCCGGGTGTGGATGGTCTGGGATCTGGTACTGCGGGTGCTCTTGGCCTCTGACTGTGTGAACAGCCTAGGCCTCGGCGTGTCGTCTGGGTGTGTCCTTCCATGGGGCTCTTGAGAGCTCTGTGGGCATCTCCTGGATAGGGGACTAGGCTCGGGGGGGTCCCTGCTGGTGGGGCTGGGCTTGCGCTCACTCCTGACTCAGTTCTGGTTCTGCTCCAGCTGGAGTCATCCTTGGCCTTGCCTTGTGCTCAGCGAGGACCCTGGGGCCAGCTGTGGCCTCAGCCTGTGCGTGCAGAGCTCCCCATCAGCTGGCATGGGCGTGGAGCTGGCCTCGCGGCAGGGCACGGCGGGAGCGCGGCATATGGGATTGTATGTGGGGGCTTGTTCTCGTGCTGCCCCCGACAGTCTGCCTCTGATGCAGGACTGGCCAGCTGCAGGCAGTTGGTGGGAGGAGGATGGCATGGGTGGTATTGCTGCTGCTTCTCCCCGGCGGGTCCTGACTCCCCGCTGCTATCTCTGGCCATGAGGCTGGGAAATTTCTCTTAAATTCTGGCCTCAGCCCTGCCCTCACCTATGTCCTGCAGGTATTCCAATGTGTTTGTCACCTCCCCAAGCCCCGACAACCTCCACACTCTATTCGAGTTTCTGTTTAAAGGCTTTGATGCTCTGCAGTACCAGGTAGGAGGGGTGAGAGCCACCCTGGAGTTGGGCTTGCTGGCACTCTGAAGCCCCTCCTGAGGGTGGTCGTCACTCAGCCTCATTCCCCACCAGGAGCATCTGGACTATGAGATCATCCAGTCCCTAAACCCGGAATTCCACAAGGCGGTGATCAGAGTGAACGTCTTCCGAGAACACCGGCAGACCATTCAGGTGAGCGCGGCCTCAGACCACGCTGAGTCACGGCGGAGACAGTCCCTGCTGTGGGCACTTGTGTCCCGTGTGGTGTCACATCCTATAGACGGTGCCGTTGTTGTATGATAAGCCTGGTCTGGATTTCCAGCCTTTTCTAAGGGCGACCGTTTGCACCGACTAGCGTATGTATGACAGTCGGGTTGAAGAGCTGCTGATTATCCCTGGAATATGGAAGTGGGATTGAAAGTATGCTGAAGGCTGAAAGGAAGAATCGTCATCCTGACACCTGTTCTTATACTGCTTAGTCACTGTGGGTTTTGAAGTGGTGCGTCTAGCTGGAACGGTAACCTCGCCTTTGAGAAGAAGATCAGAACTTTGCCACATGTGCTTAGAGTCTCTGTGGTTTAGCCCGGGGCCTGTTTTCTTAAATAGTGTTTTCCCAGAGACTCCATAAATCCCCAGGCTGCTTCAAGTCCTTGGGGTCTGCATGTGACCATAGGCTGCTGTTTTGCTGAATCTCTGAGAGGCATCGGGTGACGTGGGCTTGTAGGAGGGCTTGAGACCTGTGAGCTCTGGCTGGGGATGGACTACAGGTTATTTGTGGCGGTGGACTGCAGTGGAGTGGGGCTTGCGGCAGGGGAGTCTGGCAGCTGGTGCCCTTGACCTTGATGTCCGTCAGAGCATGCTGGACTTGTCAAGAAGGTGGTGCACCTTTCATCAGGTGCGGTCACAAATGGTGTTGAGTGTTCATGCCTTTTGCCTCAATTTCTTCTCACTGGGTCTCTTTTTAGAATCTCTTCATTCTGTCCATTTCTCCCCACTTTTGCCTGATACCCTCAGCTGGGAGGACAGACTGCTGTAGGTATGGGGGTGGGGGCAGACTGCGGGCAGGAAAAATTTTCAGAGACCTTCAAAGCTCAAGAAGATACAGGCCCGAGAAGGAACACGCTTCCCTGACATGCCTGGTGCAGCCTTGAACTCGAGTCAGCTACCCTCTCCTGGATCAGAGGCCTCTGTCTCCGTCTTAAGCACAGAGGAGGTGACTTACTTTGAGCCGCCAACTGTGTTCCTTGGAGGCCTCTTCCCTCATGCTGGAGGTTGAGAAAAAGAAGAATATGAGATACACGTTGGCTGCACCTCCCTGGGGGCTGCGTCCTGCTGCTGCTATGACGTGTGTTCAGCGTCCCCCTAGGAGTCTGAGACGTGAGGCCCCGCTGAGGCGTCTCTGCAGCTGCTGAGATGTGTGGGGTGGCTCCCTCCCTGGCCCACCACTTGCCGCAGAGCTGCTGCAAGGCCTGGCCTGCTTGTAATGGGGCGCTTCCGACGTGTAGGAGGGCGAAGAACCGCAGTGTCAGGGCCCCAGCAGTGTCCCTCTCGGTTCCCCATCTCCTGGCCTGTCAGGGCTCCCCGCAGGTGCCTCTATTCTGAGGTTGCGTCGTCCCCTCGGCTCGTGTGTGTGTGCATGTGTGTGTGTTTTCTCACTGTAACCGCATCTGAAGGTGGTGGCACTGGGCATGTCCCCTGCTGGCCTTCACATTGTCGTCAGGGCTTGTCAGGTGAGGCTTGTAGTCTGTGGCTGGTTTCTAAGTACCCTCTGGGCATGCTGTAGCATATTTTCGTGTGTGTTTGGACTTGCTGGGCTTGGATTTTGCCATTTTAAAGTTGCCAGACTTTAAAATGCTGGCATGGGTTTCGCATCATCTCAGCATCCTCTGGTGCCTTTATTTTCCCGAGCCCTCACCAACTCGGGTGCCTTAGAGCCATTTCAGTTTTGTGAAACGGTATCTCCCTATTGCCCGTAGCCTTTCACTGATGACAGGGAGGGCGAGCGTCGCTGTGTTACCTTTCCTGGATGGTCCCTCTTGGTGGCCTTTTCAGACAGCGCTCAAGGAGCAGGAGGCCCCAGGGCTTGGGCGGGGTGTGTGTCTACAGAGAGATCTGCGGCTGGGCGTGTACCGTGGCGAGAATGTGTTTAAGGGCCTTGCTTGAGGGTGACAGTGTTAGAGAGCACGTGCCCCTTGCCACCTCCTGGTCAGCTTGCCTCGGGCTCGCCAGGAGGGCCAGGAGGGATCAGAGGCGCCACTGTCAGCCGGCGCTAGCAGGTGTTTCCATGCCAGCCTTGTGTTGCCTGGGGTGGCCGCAGATGGCTGCTTCCTCCGTGTCATAGGGCGGAGTGGGCTCTGGGGCCACAGGCCCTGTCCAGGGACATGCAACCAGTGGCTGCCTGTGTATACCGGGCACTGACCCAAGCCCGTCCCGTGCTGTCCTGCCAAGGCGGAGGAAGGCGAAGAGGGAGGACCAGAAGGGGGAGGGGAGAACACAGCTTAGGACGCACTACGGGCCATGCGGTGGGTGGTCACAGTCGCCGTGTCAGCCGTCTGTTTTTTCTCCCACAGTACATACATCCTGCGGATGCTGTGAAACTGGGCCAGGCTGAACTCGTCGTGATCGATGAAGCTGCCGCCATCCCCTTGCCCCTGGTGAAGAGCCTGCTCGGTCCCTACCTGGTTTTCATGGCGTCCACCATCAATGGGTAGGCACAGGGTGGGGCCTCGTGCCTGGGAAGGGTCTCCTAGATGAACTGGCAGGCAGCGATGTGGCCGGGCCTGGGGGCTGAGGCTGAGTTCAGGCTGGGACTTGGAGGCGGCTTCATTCTTTCAGACTTCTGCACGTGAGAGCTGGCCTCTTGGTAGGTGGGGACACACTGGCCTGGCACTAAATGGCAGGATTTCATCACCTATGCAATGAATGTCTCCTTCTGTCTGTGGTGTGATAAAAGTGTTAACAAGTTGCATGGATGGGCCGGGCACGGTGGCTCATGCCTGTCATCCCAGCACTTTGGGAGGCTGAGGCGAGAGTATTGCCTGAGCCCGCAGGTTTGAGACCAGCCTGGGCAACTTTGTGAAACCTTGTCTCTACAACAAATCAAAAATAACCAGGCGTGGTGGTGCATGCCTGTGGTTTCAGCTACTTGGAAGGCTGAGGCGGAAGACTGAAGCGGAAGGTCGAGGCTGCAGTGACCATGACCGTGCTGCTGCACTCCAACCTGGGTGGTAGAGTGAGACTCAGACTCAAAAAAAAAAAAAAGTTACACGAATGGGCCAGGAGCAGTGACTCACCCATAATCCTGGCACTTTGGGAGGCCGAGGCAGGAGGATTGCTTGGGCCCAGGAATTTGAGACCAGTCTGGGTAACATAGTGAGAACCTCATCTCTACAAAAAATTAAAAAATTAGCTGGGCATGGTGACACATTCCTGTAGTCCCAGCTACTCAAGAGGCTGAGCTGGAAGGGTTGTCTGAGCCTAGGAGGTCATGGCTGTGGTGAACTGGGATCGTGCCACTGGGCTCCAGCCTGGGTGACAGAGTGAGACTCTGAAACAAAACAAAATGTAGAAAATGTTACATGGATGGTATGCCATGTTTTATATCTTAGCACTCTGAGAAAATACAGTGTTGCATTGACTATATCATCAGCATACCTACAATGACAAGTAAGCTTTTTTATTCCCTTGAAATATATTATGTTCAAGGTTACAGAAAAATTAGAAGAAACTAGGCAAGCAAAAGAAAAATTAGCTGTAATCCAACCATCTGGAACTAGCTTCTGCCGGAGAGCCTTCGTATTCATTTGCGGCGCGTTTATTTTCCTTCTTACTTTGAGCAACAACGTAAACATAGTTTCCAAGTTTTCTTTGCATCTGCTGGATGGACCCCAGCAGCAGTGTGCATATTGCTTTTAGCTTGCTTTCTGACCTGACAGTATGTTGTGAAATCTTTCCAGGTCACTAAATCTTCAACACTGGAAAGATTTCTGTTTGAAAGTTCTGTCTTGGGGAGATAAGCCTGTATTATAGGTGTATTGTGGCTGCTTTCCTCAAACTGGAAATACTCAAATAACATGGATTTTTACTGTTTAAACCGCCTTGTTGAGACACAGTTCACATACTGTACTGTTCACCTGTTTACATTGCGTCCTTCAACAGTTTCCCGTATGCAGCCCTGCTCACCACAACCAATCTCAGAACGTTTTCGTCACCTGGAAAACGTTCTCCAAAGTGCTAGGATTGCGAGGCTAGCCTGGGCAATGTGGCGAGACTTCGTATCTACACTAAATCAAAAAATGAGCCAGGTGTGGTGGCGCACACCTGTAGTTCCAGCTATGTGGAAGGCTGAGGCGGAAGGATCACCTGAGCCCCCCAGGTCGAGGCTGTGGTGGCTATGAGCGTGCCCCTGCACTCTAGCCTGGGCAACAGAGTGAGATCATGACTCAAGAAAAAAGAAAGAAAGAAAGAAACCCTGTCCGTCGTCCTCTGGTCCCTCCACACTCCCACCCCAGGGAGCTACAAACCTGCTGTCTCCATAGCTTTGCCTGTTCTGATGTCTCGTGTCAATGGACTGCTACAGCTTGGGTCTTTGTGACAGCTTCTGTTACTTGCCACGGTGTTTCTGGTCAGGCCTGTAGGTGTGTCAGGCTTTCGTTTTTAGGGTGGAATTGTGTTCTGTGTGGATGCGCCATGTCTCACATCCCCATTCACTGGATGGTGGATGGTGGGGTCACTGCGACCTTCTGACTGTCCTGGGTGGTGCAGCTGTGCATTTGTGTGCTGGCTTCTGCATGGTTGTGTTTTCAGTTCTCCTGGGTCTATACTTAGGAACTCCAGCTCCTAGGAAGCTCCTGGTTGAGCACTTGCACTGGCTAAGACCCTGCAACCTGTTTCCAGAGCCTCAGTGCCAGCGGGCTCTGACCTCCTTGCGCCCATGTGGCTTCCTGCTGGTTCCTCAGAACTGATGCCAGCTGAGGCTGGGCTTCTCTCGCTGTGCTGCTGGCCCCTTGGGCATCTTCCCTGGAGAAACGTCTGTGTCTCCTCTGCTGTCTCTGAGTGGGCTCTCTTCTAGTTCCTGACTTGTAGGAGTTCTTCGTGTGTTCTAGCCCCAGATACCCTTGGATGGGTGGTTTACAGGACATTGCCCCGTTCTGTGGGGTTCCCACATCCCTGACAGTATCCTTTGAAGACTTGCACTTTTCATTTCAGCCTTGTGGCGTGCTGACCCTTTTGTCTTGAAGAGTAAGTCTGTGGAAGCCCTTGAGAGAGCTTTATTGTGTGAGGTGCAGAGGGGGAAAGACACTCAGGTCCCAGCTTTCTCATCATTTGTGTAAGAGGAAGTGTGTGCAGCGTGCAAGGACTGCAGCATTAGGTAGCAAGCATCAGAGTGATGTGCTCTTTCGGGAAAGCAAGGCGTGTCCCGCTGCCACATATGCCTGTGACTGAAGACCAAGGGGAAATATCCAGACATAAAGAGAGTAGGGGATTTGATTTCTTCCCACATTTTTGGTTAGCTGGTTTATGTCACTTCTGTTGAAAGGTATGAGGGCCCTCTTTTTGGCCCAGGCCGGCGTTGAACTTCTGGTTTAAGCTGTCCTTCCACCTGGGCCTCCCAGAGTGCTGGGATCATAGTGAGTGCGTGCGCTATGTCACCTTTTAAGTGAGCATGGTAAATGAAGAGAATACTAGGGTGGTCAGTTTTTCTTTTTCCTTTTTTTTTTTTGAGTTGGAGTCTCACTCCGTTGCCCAGACTACAGTGCAGTGGCCGCTCCCGGCCACCACAGCCTCGACCTGCTGGGCTCTGGTGATCCTTCCGCCTCAGCCTCCAAGTAGCTGGAATTACAGGCATGCGCTACCACGCCCGGCTGATTTTTTG